GCCTTAACTTGAAACTTGCCTTTTCCGAGGATGGTGTCAATTTCTTTCGTTATTTTCCTGGCTTCTGTTGAGTTGCTTTTGGAGCCCGCGATATCGTCCACGTACACGTGATCTCGCGGTTCCTGGGCTGCGTCCGGAAATTCGACTTGTGAGACTTTGGCTAAGTAATTGATGGCGTTTGAGGCGATGTCTGGTGCTTGCTTGTCGTTGAAATTTAATCTGAGCCACTGAGAGACTGAGGGCGTTTCAGTTTTGTCGCTTCTCTACAAGAACCTATGGAAAACTTGGTCGTCAGGGTTCACTATAACTTGATTAAACATTTTTCGGATATCACCCAAGTAAGCCACTTCGTTCCATCGCCAGCCCATAAGTACATTGGGAAGACTGTTAATGTAATTAGGTCGTTTCTCAAGGTGATCGTTCAGGAAAGACCGTCGTGACCCTTTGAAGACGCATCGAAAACAAGGCGGACCTTAGTGGTTTTCTCTGGTGGGAGGACTGCTTGTAAAGGCAGATACCATTCAGGTTGGCTGTGATCAACTTCTTCTGTAAGAACTTTAATTATGAAGTCTTGTTGCAACAGCTTTTGGACTTCGTCATTTACGATTTCGGAGCATCCTTTTTTCTGGATCGATTTCTCGGCAGACTGCATTCTTTTGAGGGCAATGTCATAATTGCTGCGTTCTGGGGGTCCATTCTCATTCCAAGGCATTCTTACTTGGATTCTCCCATCTACCAATGTAGTTGAATCAGACAGCGACTTGACGAACTTGTTTTCTCGTAGCACGTTCTCACTACATATACACAGTTCTGTTGGTTTAACTCCCAGCGTGTCCTGATAAAGTAGTTTCTTGAAGTCGTCTTCAATCCTCACTGTTCCAACTGCAACGGACTGTATCCTGTAACTGTTAACTTGTCCTAAGACGTACCAACCGAAGCAGTTACATTTGGAAATCGGCTCTCTAGGTTCCCCTGACAAGGTATGAATGTCAACGAATGCATCGACGAAATCTGTACCAATTAGAAGATCTATTGTTCCCCCAGATAGATGCAGTTTGTTCGCCGCTGGTTTGAGATGAGAGAAGTGTTTAATAGTTTCCTTCGAGATCGTCTTCGCGGCACTACAAGGTTTCTTTATAGCGTATACTTCCAGTGTCTTTCTGACATCCTCATTTATGGTCGAGGTAATATTTATCTCGATGATTTCTGAAGCTTCAGACCTCTTCTCTCCACCTGCTAGATTCATAGTAAGATGGTAACTGTCCCAGCTATTCCGAGTCGTTCAGCTGCATTATTTGATAGCAGACTTGTGTTTGATTCGGAATCTATCATCGCTAGTATTTCAACAAGCGTTCCACCTGAGTCCATAACTTTGACGTTTTGGACAGGACATAAACCAGTGATGAGCTTGAAATCTTTCTTCTAGTTAGTGGCGCAGTTGGTATTTCCTTCTGCAGGAATATCTTGCATTCGGAAAGGCACTGCGTGCGGGCTTAAATTCGAATTAATCTTCTCGTTGTGAAGAGAATGGTGGTGGTTCTTTTTGCAGTTCTCGCAGGTAGTACCGTCCGGCTTCCTACAGTCGTTCGTATGATGTGGCCTGAGACATTTTCGGCATCTGTTGCTCTGTTTGACTACGTCCCATCTTTTATTTACAATTGAACTTTGATACAACGGACAGGCCGCTAACTGGTGCTTCGACGTACAACCAAGTGGACACGCTTCTTGCTCAGGAGTTCTATCATTGTTTGCTGCGTGGTTATCTGTTCTTCTAAAGGTTGGTCCTGGGTGGGTACGTTCTTTTTCGTCGGCGTTGTCATTGTCTCGTTTTCCTCTGGAGCGGAGGGTTGCCTCTCGATGTAACCAGGTTACGAGGTTTGACACATTTTCTTCCTTTCCCGCTCTTTGCATCTCTCTTCCAAAGTTTGTGTTGTCTCTTTGATCGAGCTTCGATAATAGCTGAGACATGAAAAACGGAGCTTCTGACGCCTCTAACACGATGTAGCCGCTGTCTTTCATATCATTGACAAATACGGAAATCGTCGTGGCGCAACGCGTGAGTGACTTGGAGTCTCGTTTAACTTGTTTCAGATTGTTCATTTCAGCTAACAGTTCGTCCATAAGTTTTCGCTCATTTGCGAATTCATTTTCGAGAATTTCCCAGGCTTGGTCAATATCTTTACAAGTCTTGACTTGATCTGTCCAGAAGAAACCTTTGCCGTAACGAAAA